TTTTTTTTTCACATTCTGTCTCTCACAGTTGAAGTGTACCTCTGGTGCAAATTACTGACCTCTGTCATTATTTTAGGTGGGGGAACTTGCACAATCGGTGGCTGACTAAATACTTTTTTGCCCCACTGTATGTTTACCTTACTAGCTATGTTCTGCATCCTATTCATTCTTGGTGGGCTCTGCCAGACTCGCCTTTTGTCAGTCTGTTCATAGAACTTCATGGCATATCAAAGTGATGGAGGGATCTGCTTTGATCTCTCTGCACTTTGTGGATTATGTGATTCTTTTAGCACCGGGTGCATTGGTAAAGCAGTGGGAATGAGAAGTCCAACTTCTGATTCTCAGATAGAAAAGGGTGCAGTGTCTACTGCACATGAGGGGCAGAGTGCCTAAGTCCCAGACGCACTGCTCACTCAATAACAGCAGAGTTTCAACCTAGCCTGGGATTAACATCAGCACAAAGACTGAGCCAGAAGCTTCATGACGTAGGTTTCCATGAGCCAACACCTACTGGTTATGTACACTGTGATGTATGCATGCGTGTACGAATGTGTATGTGCTAATGGCTTTAATAAACTCACTCAGCATTAAAGCCGTCCACATGAAGAATCCTCATCTGTTTGACAATGGTGCTTTTACCCGATTCTCCTGCACCTACAGTTACAGAGAGATGGATGGACAGATGCGATCCTTACAGTCAACATGGTCTTCCTCACACATAATATTCAGAAAGCTGAGCCAGGTTTTAGTGGATAAAATGAGTGGCTGCTTTTTTCTTCTTATATTACCTACTGGTGTAAACACATGGAGTCTCATAGCTTTCATGGGTGACGAGCTCAAGAGCTAAAGTCTGATTAAAGATGTCAAGTATTGTCATAATTTATTGTTGGGTAACTAAATGTTTGGCTAAAGTTCAAAATATTATATAAGCTTTGTCAGAGGACCCAAAATCTGGTGACATGACGGTGCTACTGTGACAGAAAGCCTAACATAGCCTTATTGTGCCCTATATTTGGAACTACTTTTTAAAGTTAATTCTGAAATTGCTCAAACAAAAATAGATTGAAAGAGACGGCGGCATCTCACCAAGCAGTAAGAGTCTGTGTGTAGCTTTGTACGTCTGTCGTTCCCTCTGCAGCTGCTTCTCAATCTTCTTATTTGCTTCTCTCTTTGCCTTTTCATCCAGTCGTTCTTCATCTGTTTTGCCGCCCAGACAGCCCATCTCAACTGGAACCATAGAAACCAGTAAGAACCGGACAAAGACCCACCACACAGCGCATCTTTGTTTTTTTAATGTGTGTAAATTCTTGAGCCATCCCTCAGGTTTTTTTTATAGCTCAACTTCCTGGTGACTTTTAAAGTGGTCTTGAGCAGTTGTTTTTCAGGCTTTGAGGAAGCTCCTTTAAACTTCTTCTTTGGCTGCTTTTTCATTCATGTTTTTGACTGTTGGCTGACAGCTTGGCACATCGTAGCAGGGACGGCGTAAGAGGGAGAAAAGTCCACTTTAAGGATCGTTGACAGAAATAACATTTGTTTACCAACATTAGTTTTGTTTTCTTTTTGGCAAGGAGGAATAAATCCAGTTAGCTTCTGGCCCCGCCTCACCCCACCTCATTTCATGATTTGGTCCAGGAGCACGCTCCCCAGCTGATGCCGAGCAGTAAGACGGTTGGATGGCTCCATTAAAACGTGAAGCCTGGGATAGACAGACTAATGAAACTCGTAGTGTAGGAAGCTCAAGCAGTTTCTTCAGTGTTAGCTAGCTAGCTTCATTCCTAAAAGGAATGTTTTTGGTGTGTATGGGTCTGCATGTATTTTGCCGCTGCTCAAGTGCTTTACTTAAGTACACTTGTACTAAAAAAGCAGATCTATGCTACGCTAGATCTTGGTTTTCAGTATTGGAGTTTTTTTAAAATAGAAATCTGATATCAGTAGATGAAAGTGTTACTGTGAAGAGCATTTGAAGAATGTGTATAATTGTTCCGAGTACTTTTACTTTAAATGCTACAGGTAGTTTATTTTTTAATTGAAATGCTGAGTTTAAATTGTAGAAGTTGTTTAACACAAACCAGATTTAAAATCCTTGCAGTCGTGTGGGGACACGGAGCCAAACAACGTTTCCTACACTGGATTTGCTTTTTCCTCCTGGAAACATCCTACATGGTGGATCACAGACAGCAAAGGATTTGTGTATTTGTGCTTTTACCCTTCTTCACAAATACTTTCTGGTCTTCACAGCCTGGTTCATGCCTGACAAGTCTCTCTGTCACACTCACGTAGATTTATAACAAGCAATAACAAAAACAAACCATAGAGGAAAAATGGAAATGGGTTTGAATGGAAAACGAAATCTTAAAAATGTAAATAAACAGTTTTCACTCTTATAATAAACTGATTGCTCTGAGATAAACTACATTCTAAACTGTAAATGAGCTGGGTACAGGACCCTAGCACTGATCCAGTTTAAAAGTCTGAAAGGTACAGACCCGTGATGTCTCAGCAGCTCAGGATCAGTCCGGCCATCAAAGTCCACGAAGAAGAAGAATACAGAGTTGTTGGCCCAGGTCCAGTTTCAGTCCAGTTCAGGCAGACGGAGCAGATTGCTGCTGCTCGGGTGTGCTCTTCTCTGAGTAGTGACACACCTGAGCAGCTCTCTCCCACCTGCCTCCCCTCTAAGGTCTCTAACGGTGCCTCATTAGGCATCTCCCCATCTCCTTTCCTTTGGGGGATCTTTGCTGTTTTTCCTCTTGTGTCAGTTTGTTGCCTGACGACTAGTGGCACAGACACAAAAACAAACTGGTTTCAGGCAGGACTCTGTTGGACCAGAACAGACTCCAGTCCAGATAAAAGGTCGAAACTGATGTTTGGGAGGAAACGGGTGCAGGAATAAAACTCGGAAAGACAAATCTGAGATATTTCAACATGCGATGCGTTTCCTTTGTAACCTTACTGAAATAAATAAAGCTTTGGGAGATAACGTGACTGCAGTTTTTTCAGCAGCTCCTCGTACAAACACCTGAACTCCTTTTATTTCTTCAGCCATGCAGCGACATTAACATGTGGCTCACATGCAGTCAGTGTAATCTGAATCATAAATAAAGGTTTTTGTCCACAACCAACTGCAGCTGTTTTAAACACCAAACTGCAGAAAGCTCTGAATCTCTGGCTGATTACTCTGAGCTGCATGTGTGTGATACAGACCATAAACTCCTTTAGCAGCAGGGGCGCTGCTGCACAGGGACCAGTACACTCAGCGTTTCACCACCTGTGCAGGCTCAAGGAGCGCCTTTTTTTTTTTTTTTTTTTTTTTTTAAACTGTGGGCATTATTCCCCTCATATTTATTGTGATTATTAAAATATTTTGCTTGCGTTTGTTCTTTGGAACAGACATCATTTCTCAAGTGCTCCACCAAGTTTGTCTCCACCTGGTGGATTGGTCAAGTCACTGCAGCCTTTCAAACTTTAGCCATGGCAATGAGCTGTTACCACTAAAGACAATAAGAAATAAAATATAAACAAATAAATGTCAGCACGTATCGATTATTGTAACGCTCTCCTTTCTAGGCTACCAAAGAAAAGTTTTAGAGGTTTACAGATGGTGCAAGGCAGGCATGCTCTGTGGAAGTTTTTAAAGCTAAGTTAAAGACTCACTTGTTCATCCAATCCTACATGTCTTAATTCGCTGCCTTTAAAAAAAAAAAAAAAGAAGTTATTTTTAACTTATGTTTTTAAACGTGTATTGCTGTGCATCACTTTTATTTATCTCTTTATTTTCAAAGAGGTGTACTTTGTCTGAAAGCACTTCATAAATAAAATCATCATCACTACTACAACAAATAAAAATGAACTCACTGACTTCTGCTCTTTGTTTTTATTTGTTGTCTTCAAATATATTTTGTCCGTATTCTGAGGAGAAACTTAAACACTAAACTTTGTGTTCTAACAAAAGAAACTGAAATGTGTCTCTCAAAGACATGCTTCTTTACTGGCTAGATGGATGCTCCACCCCCGCCTCACCACCCTCCGAAGACTTCAACCTGAGGTGACAAAAAACGAATCCTGAAGATTTAAAGTCTGACAAGTTAAAACTAGTCTGGATCAGTTAAGTGTAAGATTTAAAACAAAACTCAAACTCGATCTTTCCATGTGAACAGGTGGAATCAGACTGACCTCTGCTGTTGTTCAGCGCAGAAGGAGCTGAGTCGCTGCATCTCAGACTGGAAAAAACAATTTTTGGATCAGGTCTTAAAAATTCAACCTTTGGTTTGGAAGAAGCCACAACTTTTCATCAGCTTATGTTTTTCTTGGTTGTTCAGTGCATGTACTACAGACTCATATATTCCTCAAATACACCTCACTGTCATTAGTAGTAGAAGTAGAGATAAGTTTCTCGGGCCCTGCCCTGTTCCCCACCACCAGTCCTCATTTGGGCCACGGTCACTTTAAGTTGCAGTGAGTTGTCACCACATCACCATGAAATGCTTCCAAAGTGGACGTAGCTTTAGGCCTGCTTTGACAATCTCAATGAAGAGAGCACTACAGATGTGAAAGCAGATGATAGAGTGTCAAGAGAGCAACTTTCAGGAGTGGCAGAGAAATGTGTTTAGAGATAAAGTTAAAGAGGCGAGGCAGAGATGGTTTGGAGATGTGCAGAGGAAATATCTTAACTTTGGGGGTTAAGCTGAGGAGAAATGGAAGCTTATGCATAAATGCTAAACATTTAAAAAAAAATTTTCAAACTACAACTTTGCAAATCAGAGGCCGTGATTTAGCACTCAAGTGTTTGAGCATGTACACAGACTGTAGTATTACTGCAGTCTGTTGTAGTACCTGGATCTGAGTGGTTAAGGAGTTCAGGTTTGTTGAGTTTTCTTCAAATTGCTTCACCTGATCAGACACACCCTTTTCCAGCCTTTGTAGCAGCAATAACCTGCAAACACACAAACACACAGCGCTGTTTAGTCTGCTGTAGCTGTTGTTCTTTCAGTCTGTATTATTCTGTTTTTCAATTCAACTTTATTTATACAGCGCCAAATGAGAACAGTTGCCTCAAGGCGCTTTATATTGTAAGGTAGACCCCACAATAATCCATACAGGGCAAAACCCAACAATCATATGAACCCCTATGAGCACTTTGGCAACAGTCAGAAGGAAAAACTCCCTTTTAACAGGAAGAAACATCCGGCAGAACCAGGCTCAGGGAGGGACGGGGCCATCTGCTATGATTGGTTAGGGTGAGAGAAGAAAAACAGGATAAAGACACGATGTGGAAGAGAGAGAGATTAATAACAAGTGTGATTCACCAGAGAGTCCTATTAACCCACGTTGAGTGAGTGAAAGGTGACTCGAAAGGAAAAACTCAATGCATTATGGAAATCCCCCAGAGGGGCCTGAAAACTGAAGGCTCTGTCTCCCATTCTACTTTTAAATACTCTAGGAACAACAAGTAGGCCTGCAGAGCGAGAGCGAAGTGCTCTAATAGGGTGATATGGTACTACAAGGTCATTAAGATAAGATGGGGCCTGATTATTTAAGACCTTGTATGTGAGGAGAAGGATTTTGAATTCAGGATTTAACAGGAAGCCAATGAAGGAAAGACAAAACAGGAGAAATATCATATCTCACAGTACAATAATATTGAACGGGTTGCATTGTTGTACATGTCATGTCATGTTTCTCAGGTCTTTGTCTGAATTTCTTATGAACATTACTTGTCCTGTTCTCATGTTGTTGCTAAGGATTGTCTTATTGCACTGGAGTCACACTGGGTTAAATATTTACACTTGGGTTTTAAGGGGTATTTATTATTTTCTTCACTATTTTATTTACGGGTTGTACAGAAGCCCCAAACGCAATTTCATTGTTCTCTGACAATGACAATAAATAAATAAAATACTAAAATACTAAATATGCTCTCTCTTTCTAGTCCCTGTCAGGACTCTGCTGCAGCATTTTGGAATAACTGAAGGCTTTTCAGCAAGTTTTTAGGACTTCCTGATAATAATGAATTACAGTCGTCCAGCCTGAAAGTAATAAATGCATGAACTAGTTTTTCAGCGTCACTCTGAGACAGGATATTTCTTACTTCAGAGATGTTGCACAAATGGAAGAACGCAGTCTTACATATTTGTTTAATATGTGCGTTGAAGGACATGTCCTGGTCAAAAATGACTCCAAGGTTCCTCACAGTGTTACTGGAGGCCAAGGTAATGCCACCCAGAG